GACAAGTCCAGAGCGGTGGAGGCGTCCAGACCACGGGTGCTGTTGTCCCAGGACAGGACGCACGCGTTGGTGATCATCATCTCGGCGATGGAGACACGCTTCCTCTCACCACCAGACACACCACGAACAAAGGCGTCACCGACGACAGTGTTTCGCGTGTGCTCAATGTTGAACATCTTGAGCAAGGTAGTGATGACAGCCTCCTTGTAGGCGTTCTTGGTCATGCCACCGGGGCGCTTGTTGGGCGCCTTGGTGTCGAGAGCGAAGCCGAGGGTCTGCTCGACGGTCAGCGTCGAGTGGTGGATGTCGTCCTCCTGGTTGTACACAGCCTCGCCACGGTACTGCTTAAACTCCTTGGCGGTGAAGGGACCGTAGCTGACATCGCCGGTCACGCCCGTGTAGCCGAAACGCTGGTTGGCAATGGTCTTGAGGAAGGTGGTGCAGCCTGAGCCGGGCTTGCCCAGGACGAGGACCATCTCGCCGGGCTCGCAGACGCCGCGGAAGTTGTCGAGCAGGGTCGCCTCGACGCCCTTCTTGCCCAAGCCGAGCAGGTTCATGACGGGGGTGACGTAGTCGAAGAAGTTGATGACGGCGTTGGGGAAGGTCTGGACGTAGTTGGTCGTGCCGCCGATGCCCTTGACGGTCAGGCCGTCCCAGATGACGCCGATGTGCTTGGGTCGAATGCCGGCCTCGCGCTCGGCGTCCAGACCGCCGCGCAGGGCACCCTCGAGGTCAAACTGCTCGTTCTCCGTGTCGGAGGAAGATGCCGCCTCCATGCCTTTTCGGCGTCACCGTGCGACTTTCTGCGACTGTTCACACGGCTGGCTCGTGAGACGCCCGAGAGCTCGCGCTGGAGCTCAGCAAAGTCGGCTTCGGCCTGCTCGACGGAGATGCCGCGGTGGAGGTTGGAGAATCCGTCGGGGTTCTGGCGACGAGCCTCCTCGCGGGCATTTTCCGGGTCGTTGGCGGTGGAGACGGATGACTTGTCGTCCTTGAGAGCGGACTTCTCATCGGGGATGGTGTTGGTGCCGGCAACAGCTTGCTCGGCGGCGCGAAGGTTCTGGCCGTCAACAGTAGCCTCTTCGGCCTTTTCGAAAGCCTTGTCGGCCATGGTGGTGATCGTGGTGTAAATAGTCAGGATACGTAGTGGTGCGGGGCGTCACGAGACGACTTGTGGTGATCGAGCCGCGTTCGAAGGACGGGCTGATCTGATTAGATGAACGGAAAGAGGAGAAAGTTTGCTGTGTAGCAGCAGGCGGACTAGGACGATGAATGAACAAATAGAGAAAGGATGGTGGTAGTCGTCTGTCGAGAAGACGAGAGTAGCGTCGTCGTGCGGTTTGTCGACACGCTTTGCTCTCGTGATGGTGCTACAAACCCTCGACTACCAAGAAAAGGGAGGGAGGGGAGCAAAAGCCTTTGATAGACCAGGACAGGAAGGCGGAGGGGAGGGGGGGAAGAAAAAAAAGGCAGGGACCCCCGAAATCTTTAAACGATGGGAAAGTGTCTACCTAGCTGCCTTGGCAGGACGGTCGGACTGGGCAGGCAGGACAGGGCGTGCGCTCTTCCCAAACAATGGGAACGAAGCGATGATCTCCAGACCGTGGGAGAGAAAAGATTACCAATCCAGAACGGACTTGAGAGGTCATCCCCTGGAGCTTAAGCCCGTGGGATCAGTCACGTCGCTTGGCTCTCTCAGTCTCCCGGGGCCACGAACTGGGGGGACGGGTGGGTTCAGTGCCTGTTGTAGCTTTCTAGCATGGGCTTGATCAACCGTTTGAGCAGGCCGTCGCAGGCACCAGTGCTTGAACTGGCATCGGGTAGTGGGGGTGGGAGCGGGTCAGGGGGTCAGGGGGTCAACTCTGAGTGCCTGCAATTCTACCTGTACATTATGTACCCTCGTGTGTAGACAGGCCATGTGCCGGCCATGCGATAGGGTTCAGATCTGGGTGCTGGCGGAACCGATGCGCGCATCGTCTGTGGTTTATCAAGCACTTGCCTGGTCGTTTTCGTAGTACCATCGTTCTACATGTACTTCTTTCGCTGTGAAATGCTTTGCACGGTCGAGTACACAGCATCGTACCGTCAGGCGAAAACCCATCGTCGGTAAAAACCCAGGCTTGGCACCAGCCTACTGTACCCTTCCTCGATGAACCCCCTCACCCCTCCCCCTGCCGCTCCCCCATCTCCCGATCACCCACTTTAGTCTAGCTGCACAGCATCGAGGTCGAGTCATCCGGCGGCGGAACGATGCCAGCTTTGGCACGCCGTGGTCCACGGTCGACGGCGGCCGCCGCCCCCCGCTGGTGCCAAGACCATAACGCGGAAGGAATCTGGACCCCCTGGGCATGCAATGTACGTACGACCTGAGCACCCGCAAAATGTTGCTAGGCACTTTGAGGAGGTAGGCAAGGCAACTGGAGTGGACCAGGACCACTGCCAGGGCTGACTCCAGCAAGCGGCTGCAGAGCGGTTGCATGAGTAATGCGCAACGCATCCTGCGTTTCCAGCGAGTGTTGATCCCTCTGTGTCCCTGCTCCCCTACCGCCACGGAGCGACATGTTTCGCAGTCATTCTGAGTCATCCCCGCTACCACGTTTGTTTTCTTTTCTAGCCTGGAACATATTCCTTCATCAACCAATTGCTGATGGCACAAGGGGGGGGGGATCGAGCGACAGACACGTGTACTGTTCATTCTGGCATCGGGATATCCTTGGAGGCAGACACACCAGACACCAGACGCGTTATGCCAACCTTATCTTGCAGACCCTTCACCGCCAAAGTCCGACTACCCATCTCCATGATTCCACGGCTTCTCAGCAAATGGTCCACGAAGCCTCAATGGCTCGTCGTCTCGTCATCTGCCGGTTCTCAAAGGCATGGCCCTGTCTTTTCCTCTGAACTCTGATTGAAAATCCCCGCTGCCAATGCACCCCAACATGAACATGCCACTCAGCATGCACAAAAACCATGTGGTGCGGTAGCTGGTATCGGCAAAGGCCCGGCCGAAGCGTCTCTTACCTCCGGATGCAACCCCAGATTGAACCCCCCTCCTCCCTCCTCCCTCCTCCCTCCTCAGCTGGCTAGCGGCGTCCTGAGCCCCACCGCCTTCGCCCTGTTTCAGTCCAGAAGTCCTGGACGTCACGCTCCACTGTGAGAGTGAAAGAAAGCCTCGAAGGCATGAACCCACTGGAAGCAATCAAAACCCACCGGCGAGAAACCCACCCGGGTAGATGGTGGGCGGCCAATTTTCTTTTTTTCTTGCCTTTGGGGGGGTTTTTTTTTCCCCTTTGGCAATCCCTACTCGTATTACTCCGCGCGATTCTCCGGCGCCTACATGTATGAATGTCAACACACACACACACGCTCATCTTATTCGCGGGCCGTCTGCCGTACCACGCCCCAGAACAGGGGAGCCCCTTTGGCCAAAGACCCGTTATGGTTGCATCCTGTCCTCTTCCGGGCCTGGACGCAAGCACGGGATGACGATGGTGGCTGTCTACGCGGAAGGAAGCCATAGCGTGCTGCTCGACGTCTGGTCCCTCAGCCATGGTCCCTGATGGAGACATGAGATAAGCGGGACACTCACTGGCAGTCCATTCGACTGACCTTTGTTGCATGCTGGGTCAAGGCCAAGATGAGAGAAATCGCAGTGGAGAAACAAATGTCTCCATCTGAGATTCGACACGAGCAATCACAAAAGCCATCCTTGGCAGTCCCATCGCCGGGCCTATCGGACGCCGCAGCGCGCCGTGGAGTTCGGTTGGGAGGAATTCACCTAACCCACTGGCCAGGCGTGTCGTTTTGTCACCACGCACGCGCGGATGTCCCTACTAATCAGACCAGCTCTGTCTCACGAAAGACATTGCATCGCTGCCAACGCCGTCACGGTCACTCCGGCTATTCTGTCTGCATGCGGCATAGTCGTCAGATCTCCTGCGACGAGACTGTCCGCCAGGGGTTCGGACAGGTGCAGCAGCACGCAGCGTGCGCTCTCTCGCGCTGTGTCGCACTCGGCCATCGCTGTTCCTCCCTGGTCATAGCGGCGCCGCGGCACTCCGTTGTCTTGGATGGTCCGTGGAGATGAGCCCGTTGCGACCCGAAATCGCCGAGCGGCAGGGAACAGTGTTGATCATGACAAGCTGAAATTAATGTTAAGCTTTGGCCAGGGCGTGCTTGAGTGCAAACGCTGTTCGCTGTGCGATTGCATGCAACTCAAATCTGTTCGATATAGCCAGGAAGTACTAGTTGGTTAGTTGTCGAGGGATGTTCAAAGTACGTTTTGCCTAGCATGATGATGCAAAGAATCTTCGTGTCACTCTTGTGCACATGTCATTCGCGTTCTGGCCGATGCAAAAGAGGGTAGGGAGACACTGAATTCCC